AATCTAATATTATTTGCCTAGACAAATAGTTAGAATGTATCCAAAAAAGGTAAAATTCTTGAAATTTTCGAACTTACACTTAGCATTCCATAAATTTCTTTTAAATGAGTAACTCGCCTTTCGTCCGCAAATTTTTTTTTAATTGTATACCCAAGTTCAATAACAGTTCCACTTGGTCGAAAAATTGTTTGAAATTCTGGCGATTCCCTCGGAGGGCATAAATTCGCTATAAGAGGTAATAGACGACCTAAATAACCATATAATGAATTAGTGTTTTATGATTTATGATAATTTAAAGCTCATAAAGGTACTTACAAATATTTCGAAGGAAATTCATGATGCGAATTCTATCCGACAAACGTCCTAAATCAAATTCTGCAATTTTTTCAGAACAAACGTTCAGTTTTCTCTTCTTATTTTCAGGCTTATACAAAATAACCAATGTGACTTGAACACCAATAGCATAGTATGCAAATATATATGGAGCATCTCCGTAAGACCAATCTTCGATTTTATCAACCAATTCACTTGAAGGATCTCTTGAGTCTTCCCGGGACTTCTCTTCACCTCGGAAAGGACAAACATTTCCCACTAATACCACCATGTCCGGGCGATTGCGACCTATGAATTTTTTTGTTAATATGCATCATACCGACCAATCTATACTACTAAATTTACTGTTGAGGTTCGTTTACTCGTATTGCGATCAAATTCCAATTTTGACAAACTACCGCTATGCATCCCAAATGTCTCTATTGTATTTTTTATAACACTATCCCATAAACAATGATACGAGTCTTCAGTTTTTCCATATGAGGGAGGATAAATTAACGGTGCTATAAGTCTTAAATAAAGTGAAGTGCATTCCGCTTCTGTACTTAGTACAAAATATGTATCTCGCTCTTCTTTAGTTATACCGCCCAGGCTAGTATTAAATTGGAAATAATGATTAGGTGCAAGTGGTATTTTTACTGGAGGACTTTCGTTAAGGAAATTTGCCAAGTCAAATTTATTAGGAAGCTGATCAGGGCCTCGGATTAACTGATTTATTATTTCAAGAGTAATATCTAAGATAATGAAATATTGTAGGAACGTAAGAGCAAGAATAAAAGAAAAAGGGAGGGTTAGAAAAATTAGAACTTACCTTCCGGTGCTAATAATATGGAGGGAGCTACTATTATGGAGGAGATAATACACATAAGTTGGTTATTTTTTTTCGCGTTCAGTAGCGGTAAAGAAAAAGGCATCATAGAAAAATAAAATAGTTAGTTATTTCCATGTTTCTTCAGTACAAGGATATATTACTTTAGTGAATTAGGATTACATAAATTAACAAACCTTGAAGCTTTTGTTCTATATAGCAGGAATAAATGTATGAGGCACAAATGAAATTATGAAATTATTGCGGAGAAAGCAGTATAGGTTTGGAATATTCGAATGCAGTTGTGGTACTACTTACCCTGGTCCTCGCCCTTGATTTTATTAATAAACTTAATGATCGTTTTGGCCGGTCCTAATTTTAAACCAACCTTCGTGTTCGTGAGTTCTTCCACACTCAACTCGAGGAAGGCTGGACCACTAACTTTTTGTTTTCGAAGAATATTGATATCATCATCATCCAGTCCTAAGTCTTGCTTGCTTAAAAATTCTAGAAAATCCTCCGTCGTCTTATATCCTTCAACTTCATTGATTGTAGGAAGTGAAATTCTTTTTCCGGTAGAAGTAGACATATTCACGTATTTAGTTTCTGGGATAGGACGAAAAAATTTTTTTAGTAAGAAATAG